CGGACGGACGGACGGACGGACGGACGGACAGAGAGAGTAGAAGGAAGATGGATAGTTGGTTGGATGAATGGATAGACAGATAGACAGATAGATGAAGAGAGAGAGAGAGAGAGAGAGATGTAGGACAGACAGACAGAGACAGACAGTCACAGTAGAAGAGGATGGATGGATGGATGAATAGAGAGATAGACAGATAGATGAATTGATGGAAGACAGAGAGAGACAGACATACAGACAGATAGATGTAGGACAGACAGACAGATTAGATAGATAGAATGTTTCTATCAATTCTTATAACTAGATAACTAAGCTAATTCTGCATATCGTAACATTTGAATCTTGGCTGGGCCAAGTTAGTGTAATTGGAATATCCGTCGCCTAAAAGTCAACTTACTTGCCTCTGAGAAAAAGCAATGGGAGAAACGGAAAATGAGGGATTAAAAAATAAAGAAATGTTGGAGGATTGTGGCTTTAGAAGTAATGTTTAGATAGGCTGTGTGTACACACACACACACACACACACACACACACACAGATACATATTTCTCTTCCAACAGGGTCGAATACCTGTAAAATGGATGGCCATAGAGTCCCTCTTTGATCACATCTACACGACCCAGAGTGATGTGTAAGTTGATTTATGCTATTGGAAATTTGTATCTTTAAATCCAAACAGTATCTCTATGGATATCAATGGTGTTTGTGCAAGAGAGACTTTGCAGTATCCTTAGGGCAAACGGGGGGGGGGGGGGAGGGAGTACGCGTGCCCTGTCATCATGGCATAAAGGTCTCAAAAATATGCCATTTGTGTCACATCATTCCGAGAACATTTGCAGATGTGGAATATTTGCACTGTGTTCTGAATTAGGCAAATGACACAATTTGTGTTGTTTAGGTTATGATGTCAGGTGTATATGATGTCGTTTCAGACTTGTATGATGTCATTTCAAAATATGGAACAAGTTGGGTTTATTTCAAAATAGGGAACAAACCCATCTATTTTGAAAATGGCAGCGCTGAAACAACACTGACTCATAGACCATTCAATATTAATCTGATTTTTTTCCAACTGATGACCATACCCAATGTTGATCCAACAGAGGCACAAAGTAGCTCTTTTAGCTGTTCAGATTTTGTTAAATCCTGGCTTTTTTTGTTAAAAAAAAGGAAGTTGAAACTTGGAGAAAGAGGATATGTTTCCAACTTAGAATAACTCTCTCTCTGAAATGGTATAGGGGAAGGGTGTCAAACTTGATTTCATTGAGGGCTGCATCAGGGTTGTGTTTCACTTCAGGGGTGGGGGGCTGGGGCTGGTCAGGTTGGGTGTGGCTTGTATCAGAGGTGGCTGTGGTGGCCCGAGTACTCTTCCAGCAAAAACAGGCTCCCGAGCTCTGCTTTCGGCTTGGACAGCCTCCTGCAGCGCTCTGCCAGCAAAAATAGAGCTCGGGGGGTGCGGGGAATGCAGCCCTTGCAAGCTCCGTTTTTGGCTGGGAAGACCTCCTGCAGCCCTCTAACAGCAAAAACGGAGCTCCCCGGGTTTTTGCTGGCAGAGGCACTGCAGGCTGGACTTTTCGCTGTTTCCAGGACGGCCCCATGGGCCAGATTTAAGCACCCCACTGGCTGGATCCAGCCCCCACGCCTTGAGTTTGACACTCTGGGCTTCCTGCCTGGGGAAGAGGTTGACCTAGAACAGTGTTTTTCAACCTTTTTTGTGCAAAGGCACACTTTTTTCATGAAAAAAATCACGAGGCACACCACCATTAGAAAATGTTTAAAAA